CTCCAGACACAAGAAATCCTTAAAAGCTTCAAGGGCTTGCCCATGTTCTCTGTTGAACAGAAAGTATTTCTCTCTGCTTTTTTGCAGTGTGGTGATGCCCATGCTCTCTCTTGAACATGTATTCCTGTCTTTCTCTCAACCACGTTTTCCTAAATAAATTTCATTCGTTAAAAACTATCTTGCTTTACTAAAAAAATTCACTAAAAAAAAAAAACACTTCAAGAATCCAACCAATTACATTCTAGTAATTCAACAATAACAAACAAATGACTATAAGAATCTTTAGATTCTGCAAGCACTACAATCAACTGTATAACCCCAAGTCATCACAATGACAACAAGAAGGAAAGGAGAAAACAAAATTTGCAACAATAGCAACAGAAATTGGAAGAGGAGGGAAAGAGAGAACAGAAATATAAAGGAGTTAAAATTTTATATACTGTTGAAATTGAAGTACCATCAATTCAAACCAGATTATCATGAATTAAAATATTAATTTCAATTCCCAAGACAACCAGTAAGAAAATAACTAAATACAGTAATAACCAAAAAAGCATTCAAAATTCTACTTCAAATATATATCTCAAACAAGAAGGGGATAGAGAATATAGGAGAATGGAAGCATAATACTGATGCAATACATAAAAAAAAGCAAAAGAAAATCAAATTTTAAAAAATTGCAAAATTTCATTATCACTAATTCCATAAATGTAAATTAATTATACTTCCAATTAAAAGAAATAAATTTGAACATTTTAGGTTTTTAAAACATGATTCAATTATATGCTATCTATGAGAAAATTATCTTAGATAGAAACTGTAGTTGCCTTATTCTTCAGCTATAAACGAGTTGATCCTAAATTGCATATGATATTACAATAAACCTTAAAAAGCTAAAACTATAAAATAGGCAAGTCCTAGAGTCTATCCAAAAATTATACACCATATACAAGTAGTAATTATACTAGGATTATGAGGACAATTCAACATATTGAAATCAATCTATATGTTACATATTAATAGAATCAAAGTTGAAAACAAAAGTGAAAATTCATGCAGAAAAATCACTTAACAAAACCCAACATCCCTCTATGAGATACAAAACTTAAAAACTTAAAAACTAGAGACAGTAGAGAGATTTCTCAGTCTGATAAAGAATATCTATAAAAAAAACTATAGGTAATGTCATATTTAATAATATAAGATTGGAAGCTTTCCTCCTAAAATTAGAAACAATACAAGTTGTTTATATTCATAGGATCTGCGATCCTATCAATTCAACATTATACTGGAGGTTCTAACAAGGCAATTATGGAAAATTTAATTGAAAATAAAATTGTATTTTCATTTAATATGATCTTAATTTAGAAAAGCCTAGAGGACAGAAAAGATACTATAGTAAGGCACTTGCCATGCATGTACCAAACCTGGGTTTAATCACAAGAAATAAAATATAAGTAATAAATTTAAGCAAGATGATGCAAAATCTACACACTAAAAAATTCAAACTAATTAAATAACACCTGGATAAATTGAAAATATCAAGTGTTCATGGATTATAATATGTAATACTAAGATATTATGTATTATTTTATGTAGCAATACTCATCTCACAAAACAAACAGTCCATTGATTTATAAACCCAAGAAAACACTATCTAAATTCTATTTGCTTTCTTCAGATAAGGATGAGATGATCCTAAAATTCATATGGGATTACAAGAAACCCTGAAAAATCAAAACAGTATAAAAAAGAGAAAATTTTGAGGACTCAACATTTCTTAACTAGACTTGCAACAAAGCAATAAAGATGAAAATAGTGTGAAGTTAATTTAAAGATAAACATATTATCCAAAGAAACATAATTGAGAATCCAGGTATGTCATACATTTGTGGTTCAATAGTTTCAATAAGGCCAAAAGAATGACTGAAGGCAGGTAAAAACTATTCTTTAAAAAAAAATGTGGGAACGTGGGGAGGGGCTGGAAAGAAAATATAACAAGTAGGGTGTCTGCTTTACACAGTCAGACCTGGGTTCAATCCACAGCACTATATACTGTCCTCTGAGCACTGCTAGGAATGATCTATGAGCATAGAGTAAGGAATAAGCCCTAAGCAACACCAGGTGTGCACCCCCCTCAAAAATAAAAACACAAAATAATAAAAAGAAAAGTTAAACGACAAACTAAATAGTGCTGGTATAACTGAAGTCATGTAAAAGCATGATGTTGGATCATTATATCACACCATATACAGATTTTAAATATGAACCAAAGATATCCGTCTGAGTTACAACTGTGAAACTGAAAAAAACATAGAGGTAAACTCCATAACCTTGGTTTTGGCAATATACTTTTAGATATGAGATCAAATACACAAGAAACAAAAATTCAAAATTAGACTTAATCAAAATTTGAAAATTTTTATCAAAGGACACTATCAAAAAACTGTAAAAAAGATAACACATAGAAGAGGCTAAGTAGGTACAAGGAAGGGCTCCTTTTAATGCTCCTGAGTTTCATTTGGGCAGGGTGGAGGGGAGAATGGGAGGTCAATAAAAATTGTAAAGAATGCACAGCACTGAAATAAGCCACTTAGTCATTAAAACAGTGACCTTTTTATATTTACTTTCTATGGTTTTGGAGCCACACCATGCAGTGCTCAGGACTTACTCCTGGATCTGTGCTGAGGGATCACTCCTGGTAGGGCTCAAGGGACCATATTAAATGCAGAGGATTCAAACCTGGGTCAGCCGCATACAAGGCAAGTGCCTGCCCACTGTTCTATTGCTCTGGCCCTAAAACATCACTTTCTTAGAAGGTGACCTTTTACAGTTTTAATAGTCGTGGTTTTCACCACAGTGAAAAGCACCACGGTCCTCCCATTGTTCATCGATTTGCTCGAGCGGGCCCAATAACGTCTCCATCGTGAGACTTCTTGTTACTGTGTTTGGCATATCGAATACGTCACGGGTAGCTTGCCAGGCTCTGCTGTGCAGGCGAGATACTCTTGGTAGCTCGCCAGGCTCTCCAAGAGGGGCGGAGGAATCAAACCCGACTTGGCCCACCTGGCTGCATGTAAGTAAGGCAAATGCCCTACTGCTGTGCTATGCGTGGCTTTCAAAATTACAAAAATGCAGCCAGTAATTAAACTAGAGTAGTCTGGATATAAAAACTGCATCTCGTGATGATTTTTCCTCTTGTTCTTATTTTCTTAACCCTAACAATCTGAAATTAGCTCCAAAATAATACTTAATAAGTTCACTTCTGACCTACGTTTTTAAGTTTTCATGAATAATATATAAAGATATATATATATATATATATATATATATATATACACCTTTGCTTCTCTTAAAACAAATACATGCTTTAAATGAAAATGACAGACCTTTCTTATTAAATCTCAGTATCAGTCCCAACTGGTATTTTAAAAGTAGTGTCTACAATTCAATCAGCCTAATCAGTGGCTGAATAAATAGCAGTACTCCTACATAAAAAAATAAATAAATAAAATAAATGTAGTGTCTAGTCAATCACCTTGCATGAGAGTTTGAGGGTTTGAAATGTTGAGTGATAATGCAGGAGGAGAGAGAAAGTAGGTTAATCAGGTAAAATAAAAATATTTGCGGATCTTCTTTTATAGCACAGTAGGTATAATCAACAATGCTGAAGACTACTCCCAACAGTGCTCAAGAAACTTAAAGAATATCTCCTGCAAAGAAAGCACATGCTTAGCCTGTTGAGCTCTCTCTCCAGCCTTACTTACTGAGTTCCAGTTATGCACAGATGAAAACATGAAACATCCAACAAAAAAGTTAGGCGGTGAGAGAGGATAGTATAGGAGTTAAGGCATTTGCCTTGCATGAGGCTGACACCAGACCTATCCAGCACTATAAGGTCCACAAACTCACCAGGGACCAATCACAAGCACAGAGCCAAAAATAACCCCTAAGCACATCTAGGGTGTGGTTCCAACATAGATCTATATTTATCTATATCTACAGTGGTTTACGAACAATATTATAGAATAATACACAAAATCATTCTGAACATAATTCATAAATTTAAATATTCTAAAACAAAAATATTTGTATTCCAACAAATTGTCTATTAGAACATAATATGTACATAACATTTTTCTACCTTTAAGTAATGAAATAATAAACTTATCTTTGAATATGAAGTGCTAACAAAACATTAAAACAAAACATACTTAATATACTAAGTATTTGACTATATGAAAACATTACTCTATAAATCATTTTAAAATTAAAATAAATTCATCACACAGAAGCAATCAACTTTGTAAATAACATTATTACTAAACGTATAAAATTTCTACTTTAGTAGCACATTCTTTTAGAGATAAAATACCTGCTTTGTTTAGAGGCCACACACAGTGGTACTCAGGGCTTACTCCTGGCAGTGCTCAGGCAACCATTTGTGACACAGGGACCAAACCGGGTAAGCTGCAGGCAAGGCAATTACACTACCTGCTATACTTTCACTCATAGGATTACAGTTTGAAAAACATTAGTACCAGTTTAAGTTTCCCTCTGTGTGCAAGTGTGTGAGTATGCATGCGTGCACGTGTGTGTGTACATGCATGAGTGCATGTGTGTGCATGCACGTGTATGCGCATGTGTGTGTGTGAATAATACACAGGTTTAAGAGTGGTAATAGGTTAGGTTAGTAAAAGTAATAAAATATTTTATCATTGAGACTTGTAAGAACCCAGTGACTTCTGATTCAGTTACAAAACCCACAAATAATTCAAATGCAATTATTAGTTTGGGGAAACCAATATTTTCATACTTTCATCAAGTGCATACATTGAATTCTGAAAAAAATTATGTAACAGCACTATACATAATTTTCATGATCTTTTGTTTAAATGAAAGCTACAAAATGAATTAAGTACTTTGTAGTTAATGAAAACTAATGATGAGGAGAACGATGTCAATAATAGTTGAACAATACTGAAGAAAAACTACAGTACCTTATGAAGCATATTTTCTACTGTTCTCATATGTCTGGCAACACATTCTTTGTCTCTAGAAAAAAAATAAGTTAGGTGTTAATGAAACATTACTATAACTACACATGTTAATATAGCACTGTAGCACTGTTCTCCCGTTGTTCATCTATTTGCTCGAGCGGGCCCAGTAACATCTCTATTGTGAGACATGTTGTTACTGCGTTTGGCATATTGAATATGTCACGGGTAGCTTGCCAGGCTTTGACGTGCGGGCAAGATACTCTCGGTAGCTTGCCAGGCTCTCTGAGAGGGGCAAAGGAATCAAACCCGGCTTGGCCAGGCTGGCTGTGCGAACGCAAATCCCTACCTCTGTGCTATCGCTCCAGTCATGTTAATGTAAGTCACTATTAATAAAAAGTGGGTTAGTTATACTTCAAAAATTAAAAACTTAACCATCTTCACCAATGTATTTCCACAGTTTGTTCTTATTTTCAGACATGTCTGCTGCCATAAATTGGAGGAGAAAAAGCTTGACTATTTGAAAGTTAAGAAAAGAGTGAAAAAGACATGGAAAAAAGGAAATCATGAATACATTGATTTAACATGTGCTAAAGGCAAAATTTTTATTCTTCTGGTTTCTAATGTAAGAAGACATCTAAAAAATCATAAATTCCGTATTATGTAAAATAAATTTTCCTCTTATAAATAATTCTGTGTATACACACAAAATAACTATATAACCCCAACTAGAAATATGCAAAGTTACTAATTTCTTTTATCATGTGTTTATTCTTAATGAGGAATTTAAAAGTTTGATGGAAAATTCTGGTCATAATAGTAAAATATACATTAAAATACAATATAAATATAATATGAATGAATTATCTCTAAATGTCATGTTAGCTATTGTTATAAGTGTATATAGGTCCATAGTCATACAACATACACATAACAAATTCCTAATATTAGAAACAAGTCTGAAAGATAAAACAAGAAAGATTGCTTTTCTGTTTTCATTAATCTCAGATTTTCCTGAGTTTTAAAACAAAAAATTACTAAGGGTAAACTCATTTGATATTAGGAATCTAAGATTGAGCAATAACAAAATTAATTTAGTCAAACTTATAGTTTTAAAATGCAGTAATTACACATAATTGCCTGCCTAAGACTGTGGTACACTATTATACAGTTTTACAATTAAGATACGATTGATGCTATTCAAATATATTTGGCCTCTGTAAATTCATTTTATAATTATGTATGAGCAATTTCCCATGCCCAGTGACAAAGCTGTGGACATCCTGAGAGTAAGGAGTCCTTATTCTGTAATTCAGTTTATAGAACATATTCATTTTTACAGTATTTTGTGTTTATAATAGAGCTCATCTTGAAATAAAAGATTTTAATTGACATGTATATGTTTGCCAAATACAGTAACCAAGAAATTCCAAATTTAGAAAGCACTGTGTTAGCTTTAAATATATATATGTATATACATATATATATTGTGGATTAAAGGAGCACCTAATTTTCATAAAATCATGCTGTTGTACAAAGGACTGTATAAATACATTTCATGAAATTTGTTATGGGGAACAAACACAAACATAACCAAGAGAACTGTTCAATTTGAATTTCACAGTGTATATTAATTTGATTACCTGGCAAATAAAGAAAAAATACTCTCTCAACAGAAAAAAAAAGAAAAAACTGCATTTTCAAAAATTTAATCTGTTGTAAAATATTTTGTAAACTAAATTTTCCATGATTAATGTATCATGGAAATATCATTTGAAACAGTATATTATATGTAGAGCAAAATTTGGAAAGCAGTGGTGCAAAAGAGAATGAGAAGTATGTGGTGGAAAATATTATGTAAAACTTTAAGACAGAGTCTTACCTATTAATGAAAACATGATTTCAAACATGTAACTCTAAAACAGAGTCCCAAATGTACATAATTAGAGATTATTCAGAGACATACTTCTCTGAGGTTTTGCAATGAAATATACATTTAGTATGTTGAGTTAAGAGTTTTCTTTTTTTGAGGATATATCAGAGAATTTCAAAGAGAGACAGCTGTACTTTTGTTTTCTAACACTGTATTATCCAGGGCTAAAACCCGGAGCATGAAAGTAAGAATTGATCTTTTGTCTGTTTTAAGTGATCTCCCCAAGGTCCAAATGCTCACTTGGCTGCCATGCGGAGGGCACTCTCTGCATCATGGATGTTCTCCTCCAGTCGACGCTTGTCCTGCTCCAGCTGGGTAAGATGTCTATTGAGCTGACGCAGAGATTGATCTTTTCTTCTCAGCTCCATCTTTGCCTCGGAGAGACTCTGCAAGCAGACAGAAAACAGAGTTACTTGTCAGCCCTGATAATTAACTTCAATTTATGCCATAGGCTATTAAACAGAGAAGAATACAGGCTGACTGGGAAGTAGACTTGGGTCATTACACTTTAAGGTTTAGCAAATTTTTTGCAAAAATTTTACATACTTAGTAATTAGAAATGATAGAAATGATGAGACATGGAAAAAATAGCAACTTACTTTATTCTGGGTATACTTCAAGGCAAACACATTTTATTCTTACTTAAAAGATCTGACTATAAAAACCTCAAGTTGCATTTTCTTTAAGTGATAACAAAGAATTCAGAAGGAAAAGTGTGTGAAATTTAGAGTATATTTAAACAAGAACTTCCATATGTCTAAAGTGTATATGTAACTGAGAAAAAGGTAAATTGGATACCTATGAGACAACAGAACACCCAAGGTTTAAAGGAACCATTTTCTTTATTAACTATTATCTATAATTGTTGGGTTGTCATATACAATCCAGGATCTGTATAAGCAAATAGAATTCTAAAGTAAAATACACTTATTTCATCATAAATAACTCATGTCAAGGACAAATATCATAAATATGATCACTACATTTTAAATAACAGAGAAGTTATGAATACACTTGCATTCAAAATTTTATATATTCTATAAATATTTCCTGGTAGCAGAAGTATAAAACTATTATTTTCCATTGGCTTCATGTGAAATAGTCACTTATAAGAATTTTTATATGAATATGTACAAATTTATCTTAGAACTTCAGGGATCAAGTTCTGAAAATAAAAGGCTCATCACTTAAAGGAACATTTTTCTAGGATTCATTTAAAACTCCAGAATATAAAACAGGAGATTCAACACTAATAACTTGTTATAACTTGTTAATTGTTTCATCGATAAAATTTCTAGGACATGAGATTATCAAAAAAAATTTTCAATTAAATTGGCACTTATTCATTATATATGGATAATAATTTTTCTTCTTTCTCAGAGTTTAGTCACATATTAATATCAACAATGCTTCATATATCCAGTAAATAACAAAAATGAAGCAATATCATATTTTGGAGGTTGCTTTTATTTTTATTTGGGGGGAGCAATTTGGGGGGGTGTAAGTCCAGAGTACTCGGGGCTTACTCCTGGTGGTACACATGGAACCATATGTGGTAATGGGAATCCAGCCGGGGAACCCACTGCAAGCAAGGCACCTGTCTAAGCCATGAACTATCTCTCTAGCCCTGAAATGTCATGTTTAAAACTCTTCCAACAATATATTTACTGTATCATAATAAGCAGTATAAAAACCTCAAACCATCTGCATGGAATTAGGACAACTAATTCATGCTAAATGCTAGTAAACTCAAAGAAATCATGAGTCAATTTATTTTAAATTGCTTAAGGTTTTTAAATTTAGCAGTTCACCTTTCAGTCAAGTTGCTGTCTGACAAAAGCAAGTTAAAGTTTCAAAATAAGCAAACAGTGGTTACTTATTAGAAAAGATATTTTCTTTTAAATCTTTACTATCAATATATATTCAAAAATATCCCTCTAATTAGTTACTGATTCAAACCAAGTTTAAAAGTATTTTGAAAGAAATGCTAACTAAATTTATTTTTCTTTTGCCAATGCTAAGTTATTTAAAAACATTTAAGTATCATGAGGTTCTGGATTTTAAAAAATAAATAATAATTTTAGTATTTTCAAAAACAGTATTTCCAATATCATTCATGTAATTTTAAAAAACTGTGTTTTCCATCTGTTAATATAAAACTAATAATCTTCTACTATTAGTTAAACATAAAACTTGATTATTCTTCCAACAGAACTAATATACTTGAGACAATTTTAATTCACTTGCTCTATAACTCTCATAAGTGCAGTTATACATTGTGAAGAGTATTTGAGATACTGTCTCCAGTTTTGTCCAGATGAAACTCTTGAGTCTAATCTGAGAGAAACCATGACCATGAAATAATTGTAAAACTTCACTTGACTTTTTAGCAATTCTAGCACATTCAAAGAAGATAAAATGTATGGAATTAAAATTATACTATGTATCTAACATCTGCTTGCTTCCATTGACTTTCATGTTCTAGGGGACAATGACAAAGAGTTAGCAAAGTGTCCAAACACTAAAATTATTTTAGAGGTAGAGTTGAATAGCTATTTCTAAAGAATTGAAATTACAGAAAATAAAGTGATATAGAACACAACTTCTTAGCATGAAAATAACAATTTCTGAAGTCATAATAACCATATCTCTATTGCTTCCAGAGTTCTTATTATAAAGAACTGAGGGTGATGGTACTGGAATCCATATGATGGAGGGCCCCTAAGGTTTATGGAGATGTATGGAAAACAAGAAGACATAAAAAGCTGTTCAATAATATGTCTTTTCCGCAATATTCACCTTTTTTGTTCTTGGTGAAAAAAATGAATCTTCAAAAATCCTAACACTGAGATTTAAAGAAAAAAAACTACCTATATGTGCCTGTGTCATATGTAATACATACATGTATAAATAATTTTAAGTTCAGCATTTTCTTCTCCTGTTCAGATTTATCTAATTAAAACCCATGATAAACTTTATGGACTCTAATATTTCCAACCAAATAACTGAAACCAGGAGGGTGTGCCTCTAGGCAGCAAGACAACAATGATAAGCAGCAGGTTAGCCACTAATTTCTCAACCAGGGTAGATTGTGAAAGTGTGATGTTCTGATATCCAAGAAACTGTTCAGGAGAGAATAGGATAAATCAAGTTTAATAACTCTGCTCCTAATTGTTCCCCCAATGCTCAACTCTAATTACTTGGAGAACTCTCCTGACTGTCACCTGATATTAAGTTGTTGGAGGCTGAGCCTGGAACAGCGAGATAATCAATAAACATTTAGTGGGGAGAAGAATGAAGATCCTGTTAAGCAGTGGGAACCTGCAGCACCCAAAGCCCTTCTGCTCATGAGAAAACCTATGGGACAACCATAGTGATTGCAAAGCAATAATCCACAGCACTGTTTTTAGGCCTTGAGGCCTTTAGGCAACAGTACATTTGAGGAAAAAAGGTTAACTCGGTCACCCTAATTACAGCCCACTTTCACATACTTCATATATAAGCGAAGACAAGCCAATTAGGTAGAAAGGAAGATAAGGGAAGTTTTATTTGTATACTAATTAAACCCCTGATGAAATTAAAGGAAAAACATACAGCTCTGTAATTGTGTCTGAGAAAGGTCACTTCAGGTTCAGTTATCAGAACAGCACAGCCTTGAGATATTTCACTTAATCCACAATACAGCCCTCATTTTGTACTCAGGTCTTAATATTTACCAAAAAAAATCAAAGTCCAATACTGCATTTATCTTTAAACTGTGTTGTGAACAATTTTAACTGTTAAATGTTTTAATGCTGATATGACTTTTAAGTCTTAAAGAAAGACAGGAAAATATTACATTGTCCAAGAAACAATGCCACAATATCACTTATCAAAAAATCCAAGTTTTCACACTTTAAACCAAAAAAATTTAATAGCAAATTCTTACCGCAAAATCTCAAAAATTCTGTATTTCAAAAGATATTCTGCGACATACTCATTGTATTTCTTTTTAGAAAATGATATCGTCACTCACTTATACATACATTTCTTCTATCCAAGGGAAAAAACACAATGATTTCACTAAACTATTCTAATAAGAAGATATTTTGCATCTACTTGCTTTCGTAAAAATGGTCATAAAAAAGCATATTACTACTAGTGAAAGCTGTCAGGTAAAGTATGGGTACAACAAAAGGAGTTAAATATAATAAACTTTAGGAGTAGGTGTGAACCCACAGATTTTATAAATGTCTTTTTATTTAGCTATAGTTTCTGAAAATTTTATAATAAATATATTACTGTTGAATAATAATACAAAATTGTTAAAGCCACACATATTATTCAAGCCTGAAATGTTTATTAAGGCTAATAATTTTTAAAAACAAATTGAGAATATAAACCTACTATTACTTTGCTCTTATGAAAACGTGTCACAGAAATCTATTTTAAATAGCAGTACAGAGATAAAATTCACATACCAAATAATTCACCCTTTTAAAATGTACAATTCAATGGGTTTTAGTGTATTCATAGTTTGCAATCATTACCATTAGAGGTCTTTTATTAAAGTCCTATTATTTCAAAAAGGAAACTTTTCAAATTGGGTAGAGTTACATCCATTGTGTTTCACATTTCAACAAATACCAATTTTTAATTAAATATGATATATAAGGTTTGCTTAAAGATAGATTAATTTTATAAATCAAAATATTTGATATACAGATGTGGTTCAGTACAAAAAATTAGTTTTATCTGAAAGACTATACATAAGTCTCCAACAAATCTTTCTGGACATTAAGGGAATCATCCAACATAGTCCTTTCTCATAAGTAAAGCAGTGCTTTAGACCATTAGGCTAGCTAGGAAGACCGAGCCCCAGGGGATAACACTTTTATAGATTTTTCTTTTGTCTAATGGGAAATATCTATGGATCTACATTCCTACAGACTAAAAGCTAATGGCTTATTCAATTTGATATAAAAAGGCAGTCATACCAAGTGAAGGCAAGACAATGCAACAAATGTTACAAAGAATGAAGTTATATTTCCCAAGTTTGGGGGGAAGGCACTAACTTTTTTATCTTACTGCTATCTGACTTAATTTTGAATAAATGTGACCAGATTGAAGTAGACTTGGTAAAATACCTGAGAGTACTAAAATTAATGTTGGAATACAAAGTAACACTGTCTTCACCCCCCATTATAATGTGACAACTATAAAATTAATCATAAATTGAGTTAATGTTGGGTGAAAGTACTACACAGATTGTAGTAGAAATAAAATTAAAATAAAACAATCACCAAGCTTTCAATAAAATTGGGTACACAAGTCAGAGATGAAAACAAAGAATAACCTATTTTCCTATAAAGTTCAAAAGTCTAAGATAAGCTATTAGAGAATTTAT